TCCTTTTGTACCAATTTTCTTCCAAGTCTAAGATAGTTGCTGCGTCAAATTTGAAATTATGTCCTGTTGTGAAATGATGTTCAGTAACCGAACGCACGCTATTTCTTATCGCACAACGCAATACAGTCACCTAACGATGGCCTGTCTGGCCACAACCTCATCCCACGTTGGTAGCCTGGCGACAGGTTGCAGGTCTTTCGCTACAACTTGTATATTGACTACAATTTGTATATTGAAGAGTATCATCCACTGGCACATGTTCTATGTGGTCACCTTTTAATTTTTTCGCCAATGTACTCATAACGGATTCATCATTAATCTCAGGATTTTTCGGATTGAATGATTGTTTTCTTTTTCTTTGCATATATTTTCGACAAGCACCATCCAATAATTGAGTTCTCAAAACTTTTGGCATTTTGCAAAACAATTCACAGTTATAACCTCAAATAAACTTTGTAGAACAACAAACAACGATCAACTAATATATTTAAAACAAATTTCTCTTAGAAAGTGAAAGAAACTAACGAGAAAGAAAGACAAAAAATAGATGAGCAGCAGCCACAATTGGCCTTGTCAGAGTACAACTTCAAAGACTCTATCTTTTACACTATTACTCCTATCGACTTAAAAAAAAAATACAATATTCTAGATAAGTTGTAGAATTAAACAAAGAAAAAAAAATTGATTTTTTGAAAGTCCCAAACCTATGTAACCCCTTAACTAATCCGCTTTATTCATTGAGCACTCATCTTGGCGATTGTTGAATTGGTGCGCAATTTGCATAAGACTAATTCAATGGATCACCATTTACTCTCTGCTCAACAGGTGGTCGTGCCGAAACCATGTGCATTAAAATTCGCAAGGACATCGCATTCCATTCTAGCCGGAAATAAAATCGGTGTCGTAACTCTTATCTAATAAAATCCTTGTTTAAAATATAAGATTTCAATATGATTAATAAAAAAATACAATAGAGAGGGGAGAATGATAAGTATTTACTACTGATTTGCATTGAAATATTGTTAAAAAATAAAATTTCAGTAAGTACCATTATAATGAAGAAGGATGATGAATCGTCTGAATGTAGCATAATCAAGAATCAGACAATCCTAGTCAGGCCACGCGCGTTACTTACTATTAAATAAATAGTTGAATGTCAGTCACCGGCGACTGACGCTGCTTAAATTGTTTTTTTAATAGAAAGTAACGCGCGTAGCCTGACTGGAATTTCCTTAAGAATTTGCGTGGTGCTCAACGTGTTAATATTGAAATTTTATTTTCGTCGCGAGTTTATTGTAATATTTTACGTCCCTAATAACGTCCCTAAATAAAGAAATGTCATTGTACATATAAGAAATAATGTGTAATCACCATTCCCAGGAAACAAATCTTGGCCGAAATGTAAGAAAACTGACACGAAATGAACGTCAGAAAAATATAAAACTAATAATAAATTTGGTTTGTCTAGGTAAGAAATAAAAAAATTTTATGAAATAATTTCCTAGCTTATTTACTATAAATTATTAACAGACAAGATATTAAAAAACGTAATAAAAATACACAACAAACAAGACAAGAAAAAGACTTCGGAATAAATATAAATTTTTCTTAGACATTAATTTAACATATGTTTACAAATGGGGAAAACTATGTATCTTATCTTGAATTATTAAAACTAACATAATTATGCAGTAATGCAAAATAAAGTCATTTCAATCCGATAGCAAATCGATAATTTATGTATTAGTTATCTATTAGCATAATATAATGTAAAACAAAAGAAAAATGGAAGTAAACAAATTAAAAGAAACTGAAAAGATTTCTTTAAGAAACCACGTATATAACATTAATTTATTTATTTTAATTTTCGAAATTACGTAGATGATTGGTAGTAAATATGCAAACTAGTATTATTTGTACGGACAAATTAAATAAATTAATATAAATTAGCTTTTTGTTTCACTTTGTCTACACATGTTGTAGGTATCCTTGAAATCGTAGCAAAGTACGATCTTAGTCTTCTTTAAATAGGCTTGCCACCTTTTCATTCTTTTTTAATTTGTGTTAAGACGCAAAGTGAATTAGAATTTTCTATTCAGCGTTAATATAATATCAGTTCTTAATTTACAAGTGGTGGTCTAATATTTTTTTTTTTTAAATTTAACTTTTTTATAATTCATTCGATTGAACATGGAGTATATTACTACAGTTATTGCTTCAACAGCAATAATAATTGTATTATTCTACGTAATGGAATATTTAATAAATAAATTCCGTGAATACAATATGGTCAAAAGATTCTATGGACCTAAACCTTATCCTATAATCGGAAATTTGAATTTATTAATTGGTGGTATTGAAGGTACATTTGTATTTTACATTTATAATATGTACATTTTTGCAAACGGTTTTAATTAAATTTTTTTGTAGATATTACTAATATCTTGAAAGAAATTACTTCTAACAACTATCCATCACCGCAGCGAGTTTGGATAGTCCCAAAACTAATGATAATACTTGATCATCCTGAACATATGAAAGTAAGATTCTAAGAATAGAAAATAGACTTTCACAACCTTGAAAATAAACGGTCCATATAAAAAAGCAAAATTTTAACAATATTAACACTAATCATACCAAGACTTAATATATACCTATTTCTACCATAGCGGGTCAAATGACCCGACTTTATGTTTCATGCTTGAATGTATGAAATATGGATGTTAGGAAGGAAATAAAAACATAAATTAAATTTATTATAATTAAACAAAATAGTAT